TAATTTCCATCGAAGTTTACAGAGTTATACTGTGACGCGTGCGACTCGGTCGGAGTAGCTGGGGGGTTATTCGCACGCAGGAAGGGCAAGTTGAAGCCGGTAGGATTCTGGTCATCCAAGTTCAGCGACGCCCAGAAGAGTTACCACATAAAGAACAAGGAGCCCCTGGCGATAGTATACAACCTGCACAAGTCATGGAGTATTGTGAGGAGGTCACGGCACCCGTTGACAATTTATACCGATCATGAGCCACTGCTGGCTATGTTAGAGAAAGAACCGCACGAGTATGAGGATTCTGTACAAGGCAGGCGTATGCAGCGCTATGCACAGATTCTGCGGGACTTTGGTCTGGTGATCAGGCATGTCCCAGGCAAAGATAACCCGGTTGCTGACGTTCAATCGCGGTTGGAGTATCATGTAGACCCCATAATATGTACGGAAAAGACTGTGAAGTCTTTCGAGAAGTCGCATGACGTTCTCGGTCCCAGAAGTAACCATTCCTCAGATGGAGGAATATAGCTTAGCTAAGAAGTGGTTCAAAAAATCATGGGATATACTAGGCCCGTTTGACGCTGAAGGATTTGTTCAAGCGGGCAACAATCTGATGAGCACTTTCTTTTCGCCCAGCTTGGCAGGAGGTGTCTTCTCGCTGCTGACTTGGTTTGGAATCCGGTGGTATATGAACCCACCTTGGTCAAAGATGCCTGCGGTTATTGAGCGGATAGAAAAGGATGCGGCTACGGCCACGGTGGTTTGCCCGTATTTCCCGGAAGCCCCTTGGTTTCAGCGTATGATACCGCTTTTGTCGGATGAGCCGATTGTCATCCTCCCCCAGGCAGGCGTGTTCCGCAAGCATGGCCGGGAGGACATGCCACCGCCTCACTTCATCACGTTGATTTGTCACCTCAGTCCAAGGCAGTTAAAGCTGCGACCTTCTTTCTGGACCCAGCTGGAACGCAAGAGGGCGTTGCCTGAGGGCGTAGTGGGGACTGTTACAGCTGGCGCCAAGCATTGAAGTCGTGCATCAAACAGGAGCAGCCGATCCCGGAGTCCAGGCCAATTCGGGTAGGACATGATCCGGTGTTAGGTGCGTTTAACCTGGAACCGGAAAAGCATTCAGCTACCTCGGCCACCTTTGTCACGGACTCGAGGCCGTTTTCTCAGAAAAGCTGGACATGGCTTTTGCAAAAACTGATTTACGTCAAGCGGTGGTAGGTGATAATACCATTGCGCAGGTTGACGAGTCTCCGCTGGCACAGAAACCAGGTTGGCTGGCAGGTCACAAGTGTAAGATTCGGTCTAATAGAGGCGATACTAATGCCTTAGAATAAATAAACGCGTAGGTAAATTCTATATATCGTGTAAATATCGATATAAATAAACGAAATGAGACGTTTAATAAAGTTAGGTTTGCCTCGTGAAAACAGCAATACTCTGAGGGATTGTGAGGCTGAGACATTACCTATATATAATCCTCTCAGTACTGTTTCCGCCGAAGGGATTTTATATAGTGTTTCGTTGTCGCTCTATTCTGGGGCGAATCTGAGAGACTCATAAAATGCTATCTTTAGAAAAAAAGAAGAAGAAAAAAATACTCTTGACGTCCTTAATTATTGTCTTAACCAATAACTTGCCACTATCAAGAATTACCGACTTAGCCTTCATCAGACTGGCACATCTGGTTGGCTTATCGGAGGATCAACTAGGTAACGTTAATAGTCCCTAAAAACCTATATTCGGTTGAGCCATCTCGCTACCGAAGTATTCAGATATAAATAAAATTGGAAAGTAAATAAAGCTCTTTTAATAGAACTAGACCAACTCTTTTATGTTTGGTATTTTACTGAGGCCTTTTAATGGCCTCATCCAAATATCTGATATGTTAAATGGAAAAGGTTTAATTAATAAAACCATTAAATCCCATTTTAGGAAACTTAAGTTCCTCGTGCTATTAAGAGCACATTTAGGAGACTTAAGTTCCTCGTACTATTAAGAGTACATTTAGGAGACTTAAGTTCCTCGTACTATTAAGAGTACATTTAGGAAACTTAAGTTCCTCATACTATTAAGAGTACGTTTATAATTTGCGTACTGCTTAAGAGTACGTTTATACATAAGAGTCTAATGTGGAGGCCCGGCTTATTACACAGCCCCCACCCAGCTTTGAGATCCAAGAGAAGCAAGTTGCTCACTCAAGCTGATTATGGGTCAAAAAGCGAGAAAGGAAAAACGGGTCGAAACATTAAGTAGCTTAACATATAGTTAACGTTTCTCAGGCGGAGAAGTTAAGTGTTCTCGGTTACCCTGTGAGTTTTGGGCTTAGGTCCAGTAGGTCCGTGGTGGTCGACTGGACGTTCTTTTCGCTTCAGTGTCTTAAGCAGATATGAAGGATGAGCATTAAGGCTAGGGATAAATGCTGTAGGCGGATAGGTTTTAACTTCCGTTCCTTCAGACGATGGAAACATGCTATCTTTTTCAGCTTGTGACTTATGCAGGCGTTTACGCCATTTTCGATTAAAGGCTTTTAAATAGTCTTGGTTATCGAAAGCATCTGAAGTCAACTCAGCGAGTGTACCGTCTATAAAGCGTGTACGATAGTATGTATAGCCTCCCTTATCCGTTCTCCATATAATGTCTTTACATTCACAACGATCTAGAGGGGCATTAGAATCATGTCTTCTTGCGAGTATAATTTCTGTAGTCGGAATACGACTTGTGCCTATATTTAGCGCACTAGAACCATCGGGGTTATTTACCTCATACGTTCCAATTTTAGTGTCTGCTACAGAGATTATATATGGACCTATTCATTAAGATGATAATACAGTAGCATCGGAATTACGTTGACGGATGATAACTCTGTCACCGACCTGATACTCTGCCATCTTCTTGGTAGTGTTCCAACGCTTTTGCCTTTTTAATAAGGCTACATTGCCTATTTCTCGCAAGCAAGGATATACAACATTATAATATGTTGGACCTTCTCTAATCATGGTAACTCATGGTGATCGGGTTCGTCCTTGTTAAAAGGGATTTGTAACTCACTAAATCTGCCATGAAAATAGTGAGCGGGTGTAGTTCCTGTAACCGGATCAGCACACTCGTTCATCTGTGTTTGTACCCACTTAAGGTGGTACGGCCAATCATCTGCATCATCCGTTAATGCAGTACGCAAGAAGAACTCAAGTCTTCTATGGCGCGTTTTATTCGCGCATTGCGTTTGCGGTTTATATGGCACACTTCTCTTATGGCATATGCCTGATACGAGTACTAGCGATTCCATTACGTCATCGCAGAACTCACTACCGTTATCAGTGCACATAATACCTGGCCACCCGTGGTCAGCAGAGACTTGGCAACATAATTCTGCCACGGTCTGCGTACTCTTGTTAGAGCAAGTTAACCCGTGACGCCACACCAAAAAAGTGGCATACGTAACGGCCGCCTGTGTGCTCGGACGTAGGCAGGTCAACCAGATCAATGATGACCCTGCGCCATGGAACATCTTCAGTCACACTCTTAAGCGGTGCGAACCCATAGCGCTTAATCTGGTTGAGATCACAGTCTGTGCATGATTGATATACTCTGTCAACTAAAGTTGCCAGCTTAAGGTGCGCGATCCCTTTTTGCTTAGCATCTTTAAGTGCGTCTACTACGTTCTGGTGCTTCAGCTTATGGGTTTGCATCAGCCAAACA